GACAGCGACGCAAACCTTTTAAAAACCCAAAGGGAGAGACTCCACAATCTATACACCCCTCGTTGGGGGAGAAACTCCGCCAACTAGGGGAGAAACTCCTCCTAGAATCTGCAATATTTCAAAAACCCCTGGGGAGTATCTCCTCCAGCTCTTCGCCCAAGGGAGAAACTCCTCTTTCTGTTAGAGAAGCCCCTGCTTAGGGAGCATCTCCTCATTTCACTTGGCTCAGGAACTGGCCGCGTTGAGGCGATTGTAGTGTACCTCCCACGTCGCCGAGGCCAGGTTAAGTTTGCCGTCCTCAGCGAAAAACTTGGACCTCAACGTCTGGACATCAGCTTGATAGGCCTCTTGGTACTCAGAAGGGAGATATCTGGCGACGTATCCCGTAATATGGGATTCTCGTTCCATTATCTCCAAGTCGTACCGCTGGTAGCCGAGGCTCGTTGGGGAGAGCAAATCTCCACCATGCATGCGAACCAAGCAGAGGTACTGCATCCCTTGTTCAACCAGGGCTCGTCGTCTTCTGAATCGGATCTCTCCCCACTCATCGATCCCTGAGATCGAGTGGAGGTGAGCGAGCACCTGTCGAATCCTACCCTCCGGGAGTAACTCCACGGCAAGGTTCAATATCTCATCCTTTGTAATGAGCCCTAGGCCCTTCACTCTCTCTAGCAGCTCTGTAAGCACGGTCCAGGGGAGTATCTCCACACCTTGGGCCTTCTGATGCAGGAAGTGCATCGCTGCTATCGTTGGGAGCAGCATCATGGCAAGTCGTGTCGGCGTCTGATCATACATGGTCGAGAGGTTAAACCCCGGTCTAAGTGATTAGCTTTTGAGCCTGAGAGCTTTGTCATGAAGGAGCATGTGCAGCAATGCAAAGCAGTCCAGCTTGAGTGCAGTGCTCCGCGGGAGGGCCTCCTCGCCATTCAGCGAAGACGCTTCAAGCTCCTCGCAAGCATGAGCATGCTAGGGCAAGGAACTAGGTGGGAGCAGCTCCTCTACACAAGATTTGCTTCTGCTGAGCCTTAGGTTCCAGTCCTGCCCACTCGTGGGGCAGAGCTGAAGATCTTATCCTCTGGAGAAGATCAGGAAAGCAAATCGCGAATCTGACGAACCAGCGGTGATGGCTGAGTTCCCAGTCGCTGAAAGTCCGCGTTAATGAGCGAGAATGCAGTGTTACCGATTAGGGACTGCAAGGTTTCCTGCAGTTCAGATGTGGCCGCCCTGGTTGACAGTTGGATCTGGATTCGAACTGGACCTCCCGTCATGCCTTCGGTCAGTGGCCGCGAAGTTTTGAAGAGCTTGATGTGTTCCGGATCGGAGGAAATTCTAGTGATTGCGTCTCCCAAGCCTGAAACGACTTGAGCCGTGGTGAGAGGGTCTTCCACCGTCTCGATCATCTTTTGTTCGGTGGGGCTCCACTCCAGGAACGGCCATTCGCCGTCCTGCGTCATCAGCTCATCATTCTGCAGGCGCTCCTGTATGCCCTTATCGCGGCTGGTAGTCACCAATCGCTCCTTGAGTTCCCTGAGAAACTTCAAGGTCATGGCTGCCCTGGGAGGAATCCCGATAGGGCTGTTCTTGACTCGCTGAGATTCCTCGTAAAGATGAGGGAGGATCGAGTGATCTTCCGTTCTGACAAAAGAGACGAATGTCACGTCCGAGGCGATCGCTGTGATTTGCTCATCATGTCGAAGTGCCAGCCGCGCTATTGCATTGATCAGCTCTTGCGATACATTGCCTTGTGCCTGGTGATTGTTTCCACCGTTCCCGTTTTGCGATCTGGCTGCTCCTCTCCCTCGACCTCCGCTTCCTCGTCCCCTGCTTCTGCCCCCTCTTTGTTTTCCTTTGCCACCCTGCTGGGGAGTAGCTCCACCACGTTGGCGTTTCAGGGGAGAATCTCCTCCTGAGGGGGCGACCTCTCCCCTCTTAGAGGAAAAGCTCTCATCCATCGAGGCTCGCTGGAAGAGCTCTTGCAGAGACATTGTTCGGGTGAATGTCTACGGCGTGGAGCTCGGGAGAGGCGGCGCTGCGGGATAAGAAAATGACATAACTGTTCTGTTGCAGCAGGTGATCATCAAGGGAGCAGGGGCTAGGAGGGTGAGAATCATCACCAATATACCAAGAGTCTTGTTTGTGTACTGCTGCTCGATAGTGACCACTAGTGGCCTCCATGCCTAGGTGAATGATTACTGCCTCAGTTGTGTAGGTGCAGAAGGAGACTCGGGAAGTGTGATCTAGGAAGACAGGAATCTGAACTTGCTGTGGAAGGGCAATGCTGTGGTGATCCTTTGCTTCACCTGCAAATCTCGGCAAGGCTAAGCACACGTGTTGTGCAGCTTCTATGAGTGCACAGGAGCGCTCCTGAGACGACCATGCCACTAGCATGTCCTGCAGGTTGGGCTTGATCGCCGTGGCGAGGTGAATGGGAGAACCCCCTTCTTCGTCGACTATCACACCCTCTGGAACTGAAGCTCGAGTTTCCCACTGTCCAAATCTTGAAGCAGAGAGATTCCGAAACACTTGCTGAAGGAACTCTGCAGAGTCATGCTGTCCTCCGTCAAAGAGCCAGCCCGTGGTGAGCTCCGAGAAGACTCTGTGTTCAGGGGTTATTCTCGCGAGTAGACTGATCCGAGCTGCCTCTTGAAAAGGCGCCGCTGATGGATCTGCAAGCCAGTGCAGACACTGTAGACCTGAGTTGGCATAGCAGTGGTTACGAGTGTTGGCTAGCAGAAGAAAGCCGTCCAGTCTAAATTCGGGTAGCGGAATACCTGGCATTGAGTCTGTAGGCTTTTTGGTGGCTGGCTTCGCCGAGGTGTTAGGCCTTGTTCGAGTATATTCTCGGGGCTGCTTGCTGAGTTGCTGACGCGCTACCTCCTGCAGTACGTGCACCTGCAGGAGTGGAACGCACTGCTGAGCATGTCTACCCGGGGCATCCACCCTGAGTTTGCAATAACGACAGCTATCTCCTTTGTGAAAGAAGACCTTGAACTGAGCGAGTCTTGGTTGGAGAGTTTTCTCAAGCTTGGCCATCACATCAGGATGCTGCTTGTTTAGGTGCTGTTTGGCTCCTTTCTGACCAACGAGGACCTGACCGCAGAGTGCACAGTGTTCCATCAGGTAATCATGGAACGCAGGATTTCGAGCGGCACCTTCTGGATTGTCCTGGGCCTCGGACTGTAGACTTTCTACGAGTGAGATCCGGTTCTGTGCTTCTAAGGGTAGCTCCTCCTGCTGCCTGAGCAAAAGCTCTACCCTTGGACAGGTAGATGCTTCTACGTGTTTGCGCAGATAAAACACTGATCGGAATGTTGCTCGACAGGCGACACAAGTTGCTGACCCTGGCATTGAATGCAAGATAGGATCAAATTTGGGTCCTTTCAAGCACTGCTGTGAATCTGGGTGTGCCTTCTGCAGGTGGCGACGGAGTGCTCCGGTGCCAGAGAGACATGCTCCACATTCAGTGCAAGTCAGAAGCCTATCCTCAACAGGTTGCGAGGAGAAGTCCGTGGAGAGGCCTGCCAGTACCTGGCTAACTGCCTCAGCTCGCAACTTATAGTGGGGGAGAAGCTGGGGATCGGAGTGTTGCTGTCTCTTTATGAACTGGGTCAGTCTCTTTTGCAGCTGCTCCTTCACGTGAGGAATCCGTAATCTCCGGAGTAACTCCTGGTTTGATTCCTTCGTTTCCTGGGAGTAACTCCGCAGGACGAATCTGAGTTGCTACATCATGTGTGAATGGAGCTTTTGCAATCCCTGCTGTGTCATCCCCACCACATGAAGTGCATACAAAGCAGAGGCCCACGCAGTTATTGTCCAAATCGACAGACGACGTCTGTCTGATAAGACTCGATGGTTCCGAACTGCATGGGCTACTTCTGACATTGCAAGCTTACTGGAGGACAGCCTATGTTTGAGAGTCTTCATTTCATAGTCGTGATAAGAGAGAATGACCCCAAGGTATGGGACCTGGTAGCGAAGCGAGATCAGCCTGCCCGAAGGAAGCTCAACAAACTTCTCTCCATCGACCTGGCGAAAGAGCTTCTTTCGCATGGTCGAGGCTGAGCCCCCTTGCAGCTGCAGCAGGATTGCTGACTTGGACGGATTGACCTTGAACCCAAGTTCTACTAGCTGATCCAGTAGCAGGTCGCAGTACCCTAGTGCAGTCATTAGGCCATTCTCTGAGTCGAAATGTGACTGGATCAGGCTATCGTCCGCGTACATTGTGAGGAGCTTCACTAGTTCAGCTGGGCTGATTTTCCCAGAGAGCTTTCTAAAGAGGAGTCCCGATGCAAAGGCAAATAAAGAGGGTGCAAGCTTACAACCCTGCTTGATTCCCCTGCGTGTGGCTATCTCAAAGCTCTGATCGCTGGCCGTCATCTTGTACAAGGCTTTGATGTGGAGATGACCTACCACCTCTATCAGAAGAGGATCTGCTTGTTCAGCTTCAAGGGCCTCTCTTAATCGCAGCCTGTTTACAGTGTCAAAAGCTTTGCTCATGTCAACGCTCATGGTGAGACTGCCTTTGAGCTTCAGCCCCTGTTGTCCCTTACCAGCAGCCCTAGTGGTAAGGGCCTGTCTAAACCTGGCTTGGTCTACATGTGTGAGGGCTTTGCAGATAGCCTCCTCTGTACCCCTGCCTGGGACGAAGCCGAACTGCGAGACGCCGGTCATTGCTTGATGAAGGGTATTCTTGAGTCTCTTCCTCACTAGTCCGGCTAGGACCTTACCCTCAGGCGCTATCACCCCAATCGGACGAAGTGAGGTTGGTTTGTCTGGCTTCTTGGGAGGCTTTGGGAGCCAGGAGATCTGTGACGAGGTGACACTGTCCGAAAGCC